AGGTTCTAATATCTCATCTTATTTTCGTAAAAATAAATTACTTAATTTACCAGTATAATTTTATAGAATTTGCATCATTGATCTTATTTATACTTATATAATCTCAGTATAGAGTACAAAAATGACGGTTGATAAAAAAACCAACCTAAAAATGTTGTGAAATTACATCTATTTGACAACTTTTCTCGAAATCTGTTACCGGAAAGTGCGCAAAACCGGATTCATCCCCTAGTTTTGACACCCCTAGAGGTGGAATATTTTCTTGAAATTTGAATGGGACTCTTTCCAACAAAAAACTATCATCAAAATCGGTTTACAAATTCCGGAGTTATTGCGTAACATTCATACAATAAAAATAAAACAGTCGAATTGGCAACAGTCGAATTTTGAAGTCGGTTAAAATTTGCATCGAAAAGGTTCACATAAAGGTTTGTTAGTAAAAATGTTCTTCTTGCATACTTAGGTTCTATATCTATCATAGCATACATACTCTTTAGAACAAAATAAAGAAGAAACAATGCTGTCTCGCGTGCGTCAGGTTACAGACTCCAACGATTTGTTGCAAACGTAAAATCAACCAAAAATTTGCAATTTCTAATGTTTAAATTCGTTGTTCAAAATGTCAAAAAACCACATAGGTCCTAAGTTAATAATATCTCGGGCTTTCTATAGTGATAGAGTTACTGATACGATTAGAAAATGCCTGTTTTCTCAGCCAACGTGTCGGGTATACTTAAAGTCGGTGATAGAATCGAAATCGGCGGCAAAATCAAAGAGAATGCACGCAAGTAATATTGGTTTTTCATGTATCATTTATGCATAGCGGAGTCCTTCATAACCAAATCTCATTACCATGAGATCAGTCTTTACTGGCATCGTTTGGTCGAACAGATACATTAGTATTTTGGGGTGCCGATGATTGGTTTGGAGTGCTACAACTAAAGCGCAAAGAACTCTGGACTTATGGGTAATTTTCAGGTTAGTTTTCTGCACCAAATTTTGGTGGCAATTTCTACACCTAATTTAAATATTATAGAATATTATTATGGACTATTATTTAATACTCGAGTGTAGTAGCCACAAATATTATTTAATATTTCGCACCACTCATGGAAGAATGGCATAAGTGGAGTTACGTCAAAAACGTTTATTACCTCATTAGATACAGAAAAATATAACTCACTTCCTTTCCAATTCTTATAATTCTATCGACTAATATTGTAGACAGTGTTACAGGAGTTGGAGGGGATGTGGGAATATATTTTTCTGTATCTAATAGAGCTATAAACATGTTTGACATAATACCACTTATGCCATTCTTCCACGAGGGGTGCGATTTTTACGATACTGTACTCGAATACTTAAATAATAAAAATTGCCACCGAAATTAGGTAGAGAAAATTAAGGCCGTTTCCTGAGTTGTCGGTATAGTAGCAGCGCGGTACCTATCGGTACGCACGGTATACGCAGTACCGTACCGAAAGCTTGCCGCTTAGGTTTCAATGTGGGCTTCCTGATTGACGTGGTATACCGTAAACCGAAAGTATCCCTTCCCGATCCATAGGCACGGCTTGGACAATAGTCTAGGCAGTGCCAATCAGGAAGTGCCACCGAAATCAGGTAGAGAAAGCTAACCTGAAAATTATACTTTTACGGAACCCGTGCCGTCACATGATTGTTTGTTTGTCTTGTTAGACGCTTTTGAACCGAGTGTAGTCACACAATACTTTCATACCTTATTTTAATTGAAAATCGAATATCGAATTTCTATGCCCACTAAGCCACGGAACGAACCTTACGAACAAGGGATGGTGCTAGTTAGGGTAGTCTCCACTTGCAGACAAGGTTGAGAAGGTGTCTTTTCTGATAATAGGCGTTGAACACCTTTGTTACTTTTTAATCTTAAACCTAAGTCATTCCTATATTAATTTTAGCAGGCGTTCTGCTAAATACACTAATTTCACAACCACACATACATGGTAACACAGTGATCACACAATACACGCTCACACAGACTCTACACGTACTCGCAGTTTCTCCTTTTTTAAATTGAATTTTCATATTTAAATTAAATTCTCTATTTTTCTTTTTACATGGTCGAAGCCACTTTATTTTTGTTTAACTGTAAATTGTTGGCTTCACTGAAAATCAGCGTAACGAGATGTTTCCCTACGTCTCGTTACAAATAAGCTGAGTGGAGACCTTTTTGGTACCATTTTAAATATAATACTGTTTTATTTTAAGTAAATGTTATAATAAGGTTATTTCAATTTGTGTTTTTACGTTCTATTTGTATTATGGTTACCAAATAAATTATTTTTCTTTCTTTCTTTCTAAATATCACCTGCGGATGGTGTTATATAGAATTTTACTTGATCATGTCGGTACTTACGTACATGATTATACATCTTCGTCGTCAGAATGTCGGTAAACCTATGCGCACAAGAGGGCGAAGAGCCGCGCGACGTTGTCCTCCATTTCGACGTGCGGTTCCATCGCGACAACATAATCTCCTTGTCAAGAAAGAACGGGGTATGGATTGGAAGTGGGAACTACGATACAAATTATAACATGTTTGTGCCTGGTTAGTAATATATTTATTTCTATGATTACAAGTGATGGAACGAACTCGTCATGCACCTGGTGGTAGGCGATATAGCCATAGATAAAAGACCTAGAGCCACCTAAAACTTTAAATAGCTGAAATCTGAGGAGCAGCTGCCTCCACGCCCGTCCTCGTTAGACAATAGTCGGCTTTTCACAGACACTCTATCGCGCTTGATACTAACAATCTTACGCGATTGAAAATATGTTTCTTGGGGCCATTGTCCCGCTTTACACAGTCACTCTATCGCGCGAGAAAGTCTCAAGCGTAATCGTGCGCGATTACTTGACTGAAGTTTTTTAAACTAACGTTCTTTCGCGTGCGATTGTAGGGGCGTCAGTGTAAAGGCTAATCGCGCAGGATACACCGCGTGAAACTGGCGCGTGTTGAAGTATCACTCACGATAGAGTCCGTGTAAAGCCCGCTAATGTTGACAAGTCCCATGTTCTTATAGTTTCACTCTCCGTTCACATTACCGACAGTTTTCCCTAGGTGAACTCTTCCACAATGACCTCTACTGTTACTTTGTTAGGTGA